ATGCAATTTTACTTTATCCTTTTTTTTTTCTTTTCTATTTTTTTTTCTTTTCGTCTTCTTTCTTTAATCACAGTCGTCTGTCCGGCATTTTCTTTTGGCTTTCGAAGTGTTCGTCGTTTGTTTCCTCACTGATGCTCTCTTTTTTTATTTCTTGAATATAAAACAAAACTCTCAATTTATATCGTTGCTAAAGAACTAAAATATTTTATACGTCGATCCCCTTTAGTCGTAGTCTTTGTGTTATTTCCCGGTTCCGCTTACTTACGTACTAGTCCCAAAACATACAATACATAAGGTTTGTAGCGATGTTGACAATTCTGAACAAACTTCAAAGTTCTTCCTATCAGTTAAAAAAAATGAATGTTCTCGCCTTAATAAAGAGTTTCTTATAAAAATTCTATTATAAAATAAGAGGTGCAAAAAGCTATTTGTCATAGTACATTAGTTCCGGTGTATTGTTCTAAGATGTATTTTTATTAACCTCATGTTGTGCCTAATAAGATCTACAGTAAGAACGAATCTTATCCGTCACATAATGTTTATTAATGTGTATTATTGTTAATCTCTTATCGTACCTAATAAAATCTACGGTAAGAATCTTTATCTGTCACATAACTTTTATTACAGTATAAACCTTCTATGTAAGTTATAGTATATCCATTTCACAGAAAAAAAATTACCAATTGTAGCGACTGCCTCACTAATGCAACTTTGTATCAAACTGATCAGATTTTTTATTAAATAAGCCGTTAACGAATTTGGAGTTCCACAGTTCAGTTTGTGACGTCACGGTGGAGGAATGGATAGCGGCTCGGATTGAGGAATCGGACAGCCGAGTTCGAATTGCAGTCGAATCCATTACATTCATTTACGTGCTAAACCTTTGGGAAAGGTATGAATCGTCTTCTTCTCCATCCATCTATGTGTAAACAAGAGGACAGACTGGGTTCTATAGCCTTGAATGGGAACTGGTCTACCACAGAAAGAAATGGTAACCTACTGCAGGAAAAAATCTTCCTCTTCAGTCATATATCGAAAGACACATGATCGCCTAAGCGTGTATCACGCATGGCACGTAACTGACTAAATAGTTAAACACTTTAGGAATTTTAATTATATTTTATTTTTATATATATTTTATGAATCCTCTTCTTCTCCCCCAACTATGGGTAAATAGTAGGACAGACCGTGTTCTATAGCCTTCTATGGTAACTGTTCTACCACAGAAAGCAATGGAAACCTACTGCGGGACAAATATCTGCCTCGTCAGTCATGTATCGAAAGATACATGATCACCTAAGCGTATATCACGCATAACACATAACAAATTGATCGAAAGCTCAAATATCTGTGCATACAATTTTACTATGGCATTTGGTGCCTATTATTGCACAATGGTCAGTAAACTTGTCTGGTTGGTTAAATCGCTAACATGATGAGTTAGATCCTCACCGGGTATTTTATATTACTTACAAGGATCGCCTTACTGAATAACATTTCGGAACAGTTGTTGTACTACGATTATCTCAGAGACGAGCGTTCCATGAATTCGAACCTCACCAAGTGTCCTACGACAGATTTATGTCAAGCTGGATTAAGTTTAATAAATAATATTCGAAACTGATTTTTTTTTACTTTACCTTTCACAGACGGGCTAGCCAGATTTAATCAGGCAAATAGAGGCGTTTGTTTGCAACCAAAAATAATACGGCCAAATAACATGGTAACTTTAAGCGCTACGGAATTAATGATTTTTTTTGAGAATTTGGATACTGTGATAATAAAGCAGTGGTGGTTGTCTTCGTTATTCTTGACTCCGATGATGTTCTTGAAGCCGGGAAAATAGCAGAATTTAGGTGCCGACGATAACTCAAAAAGTGACAACCAATGGCAGTAGGCCAAGTGCGTGTACATTTCATAGTAATTTATAATTACTATTATGATTACTAAACTATAATTAAACCATTAATTAATTAATTAAACCATTAATATGACGTGATGCAAGTAAAATCTAACGAATGCTAATCTGCAAAAGTTGTCAAAAAAAAAAAACAAATTCTGCCTTATTTCTTACCAACATCAGTAGTACCCGAAAAAATGTCTATTCTTGAAAGAAACTCTGCTAGGCGATCAAAACGTTTACTACTTCAATCAACAACAGTGCTGTACTAAAAACAATACATTTTTGTCAAGATATCAAAAAAAAATCAAACAGCAAATCAGGACTGAGTGCTTTCATGCCTTTCCAAAATGACTATAAGTCACCTCATCAGAAATTCGAACTCGTTTCTCTATTTCATTTCAGTTAAACTCCGAAGAATCGTCTTCGCGGGACGAAGCTTTTAACAAAGAGAAACTTTTAAAAATTGCCCTGAGACTTGTTAAGCAACAAAAAACGACATTATTGTAAGTCTTTGAAGAATTTCATAGAATATCGTCCCTTGTCCGTTTTGTATCTAAAGCGATTGTTGTAAGCCTTGTGTAGACTTTTTCTCATTAGGGTCTATTGATGGGCTCGCAAAAGACGACGCGTATGTAACAGAAGAGAAAGAAAAACGGGGAAAGGCACTTAATTTGGGTTTTCGAACCGAGATAACGAACTGAAAATGGTAAGCAAACAAAGAAATGAAAGAAAAATGAAAAAAGAAAATGAGAAAATCGGACGAAGAGAGGATTTGCCTGAAAGGAGATTTATTTATTTATTTTATTTTTATTTTTATTTATTTATTTATTTTTTTGTATTGTCGTTTAAAAACAAAATTTCAATAAACGCATATCCTGAAACATTGCTTATTGTACCTGTACAGTAAAGCATACAATCGGTATGCACGTCTCCCCGAAAACATTTCATTTTTTTTTTTAATAAAAGCCTTGGTTAATTATACTCGTTTTTTATGCGACCCATGATATCACAGGTAGGATTAGCTTTAAAAATATTATGTTCCCTTAATGATGACAGTGTAAAAGAAGCACTTTCATTTCAGGGTAAACTTACTAAGAGCTATAAATCATAGGAAGTTGCGTAGAGCCATTTATCGCACACGATAGGTGACGCGCCATATAGAAGAAGAAGAAGAAGAAGAAGAAGAAGAACAACAACAACAACAACAACAGTTTAACCCATTACCTGCCATAAGCCCCATTTGGGGATCTGTTAAAATTAAACTCACTACATGTTATTCCTTGTATTTACTTAGCCTTTAAAGTTTTTATTATTAGCCGTAATAAGACACCTTCTGTCGTAATTTTACATTTCATGAGTTAGAAAAATAATGACTATTTTGAAAAGTATTTTTTATTATTTCTGATCAATATTATTTTTTGATGTTTTATACACATATATATTTGATGTTCTGGTTTCTAATAAAATGACAATGATAACTTTTGAAATTAAACATAAGGAATAAATAAACTCCTAAGACACCTGTCTGGGCCAAAAATGCGCATTAAAAAAAAATGTAGGTTAATGGGTTAAACTTGAGTGCCAACCAGTTTAGGAGAAGGAATACTTTAAATTTCAAACGTTAGACCTCAACGAGAAATAACGACACTATATTAAAAATAAAAAAAAAACCAAAAAAAAACCATTGCGGTATTTCACAGATAATAGAGGAAAGGAAACAGTGGAGAACCGTGTTCGCTTACGTCCTGAATTTTAAATAAATGTAATGCAATGAAAAAATACTGTTTAAATATACACACCCAAATACGCATTCGCACGCGTACAAACACACACACACACACACACACACACACACACACACACACAAAAATCTTTCCTTTCTTTGCTTTTATCAATGACTGCTCCTTTCCGGCCCTGCTTTGTCTTTGCTACTCCTTCCTTCAACCATATGCTGAAATCTCTCAAGTAGGTTACCCGCTGCTTTCCTCTGCTCCTCTTGACTTCGATACGCCCAGTGAGTGTTAAATCTTCCAGGACCTCCCTTCCGTATTACATGTTCCAACAATTTCACCT